CATCATTCTAATAAGTTGGTGAGTTATTATTTAAAAAGTTTGATTCTTAAAAAGAGGATTTGATTTTTAAATAAAAGAATTCACAAAACAATTTTACGAATATTCATAATTAAAAATCTTGTAGTGGATTTTTTTCCTGTACAGTATTTTTTTCACTACTTTTCTCTTTGGGTTTCCTTAAAAGTGTTTGCTTTGTAAGTAATTCTATCTTGAATTCTTATTGCAAAATAAAGTGAATAAAATTTTCATTCAACTGATTCCAAAAAATAACCTTTCAAATTTTTAAATCTGAATCGAAACTTAAATTTACAAGCCATAAAGAATTGGGAATTTTTGATTGGTTTTGAAATATTGGGATTTTATTTGTGGAAAAGTGTTTTGGGAAAATGTTGATCTTTTTTTATGTAATAATAAATTTACTTTTCGTAAAAAATTTTAAGAAATAAAAGAACTCTACAAAATGTGAAATATTAAAACTAATCCCAAATCTTTAATCTAAGATTGACTTCAACTCTAAAAACAAGAATCGCATCTCAAATTGGTCTCTTTTGTTTTTTTAAAAAATCAATCAAAGGTTTTTTGTGAATAAATAGGATACTCTTTTGAGGTGTGATTGTTTTTTTCAAAAAGATAACAAATTATAACCTGTGCTATGTGGGATCTTTGTTAAAGGTTAGTTACTTGTGATCAATTTATTACTGGTATTTGAATTTTAAATGGGAAAATATTTTCACTTCCCTTTTCCAGATTTTTCCTAGATAAATAGAGTTCCCAAAGAACAAGGTTGTAATTCAAGAACCCACTTTGAAAAATGTAAATTGATAATTAAGTAAACAATATTCCCATTTGAAATTGAGACAATAGTAGAGTCTATTTATCTCTCTTAGCAATTTTTTTCAAATAATATTTTGTTTTTTCAAGATTTCTCCTTTTACAAGTTGATAAAATTCGTGTGTTTTCAATCAATGTTTCTTTACAAAAGAGTTGGTGGGTATAGAAATTAGACATTGTACATATTACAACAACAATTTATTTGTTTATCAATTTTTTTTGAACACAAAATTTATTTTTTATTTTTTGAATAGAATTAAAATACGAAAAAGACCAATTTTATCTGTTTATTCCTTTCAAATCTGGAAAATTTTACAAACAAAATGATTCAAAACAAGCTACCACCACCACCACCTAATTTATCCATTCCAAAAAAAAAAAAGCTTGAAGTTGATGGCAAGCCCTTAGTTCGGATTCGTGTGATTGAAGAACAAACAAATACGATCAAACCTTCAAGTGGGGAATGGAACGCACTGACAATTTCTGATTTACACTTCAGTGATCAGACTGACTCTTATTTCCCAATTAAAAAAATCAATGAAACGATCCGCTTTTTAAAGAAAACAATCAAAAGCGAAAGGGTAGATCAATTAATTATTTTGGGTGATTTGTTTCACTCAACATGCTCAAACATGGCATTTATGGAACGGACCTTAAAAAAATTAACAAAATTAACAAAGGAAACCTTTATGATTGGCGGAAACCATGATCGTGGCAAGATCTCCCGATTACAAAACAGGCTCGGCTCAAAGTATCTAAAGAAAAAAAAGATTCATTTGATTGAAAATCTGTTTCTATGCCTCACACCATCCGACTTGAACCAAGACGAAATTTCATCAGATCAACCAAAAAAGTCAATCAAAGAGAAAATCTTTCCTCGTGTTATTTTGACACACGACGCAGGAAACGAAAGTATAGTCTCTTCAGAGAGAGTAGAAAAGTTTTTGCGTTCAATAAAACACTTCCACGAATGGATCAACCCATCCGACCTTCTCATTATGGGACACACCCATTTGAATTATCTTGAGAAAGCTGAGAACATGGGCTCACAGGGCCCGTTCCACGCATCGTTAAAAACAATATCATGTGGAAGAATAACTGAAACCCAATCAAATGGTGGGCTAAAATTTAAATTATTAAAATTGCATCTCTAATTTTTCAAATTTTTCTGGAAGACTAAAAGTTCCAAATTTACTCGAATCTCAAACACTTGATCAGATATCAATGGTCATTTGTATGAGAAGCCAGTGGATTGAAAATCGGCCACACTCCCATAGAATAGGTAAAATACTTGCACTCTATAATATAATAAGAATTGGGTTACAAAAAACAAAATTGTCTATGAATAAAATCCTTTTTTTTTTATAACTATTAAGTTTTTTTTTAATGCTATTTCCAATTTGGAGTATAAACTTTTTGAAAAAAAAGAAGTTCAAGATAAGAATCTAGAATGTTGTTAGTTTGAAGACTTGTTTTTTAATGTGTTAAGAAAATAAATTAAAGACATAAGTATTTAAGTATATGACTTGGTGGTGTTTTTTTTTTTTTCAATTCGTAAAAAAAATTGAAATTACAGTCAGTTCGCTTTTAAGGCACAAACTTTCAACGAACTTTTAGGCAAAAAAAAACCCATCAAATTAAAGCACAAAATTCAGATTCTAGTAAAATAATTTGTAAAAATTAAAATTCCAAATTTTGTGCCTTTATTTGAAATTTTTTTGTGCCTTAAATTTCGTTGAAAGTTTGTAACTTAAAAGTGAAACTGACTGTAATAAAAGTTATGAAAAAACAATATAAAGTCGAGGATGTACAAAATAATACATTATTTGTTTTGTTTTTAAATGATTATTCATTAAACGTAAAGCAGCTTTTAAAAAAATTCCATCCTTTTATTAGCTAAGTGGGGTTTTTTAATTTAGTTTATTATCATGGGGGGGTAACCCTAAGTAAATATTACATATAAATCCCATTACAAAAATTTGGAAACACCCAGAAATCAAAAATAGTCAAAATAAAACTCAATTTATTATATTTTTCCAAACCTAATATAAAACCACGTTTAAATACCCGAGTATTAATGTTTTAATAAGTAATCATTTTCATCCAAATAAAATAAAAAAAATATAAAAAGAAAAAATCAAAATTGGTGTGTATCCAACATAATGAAATGAGCCGATTAAAAAATTTAATAGGTAAATTTGTTGAAATTTCACCAACAATTGTGGATCGCTCAAATGATAAGATACCATCGACCAATTGTATGTGATTTTTCGATATTTAACAAACTCAACACTAATCTTCTAACTATCATCGAAAAAAAAAATTAATATTTAACGAAACAGATTACCTAACAGGAAAAAGTAGCTGAAAACCAACCAAAAAAGACAAAAAATGAAATAGTTCTGTAAAATCAAAATTCTTTCGAAATTGAATTTAAAGTATATTATTGCTATTTTTTCAACTTTTTAAACTGTGTCCAAATTTTTGGAATATAGTTTAGTTAATGGTAAAATTATTAGAAATTTTACAAGATCTTGAAATTAAAAAAGAAGGGGAAAACTACGTATTTTAATAACGGTCTTATATTAAATGTTTTTTTCTAAAATTAATTATTATTTATAAAAGTTTGATCAATTTTTTACTTTTTTGCTACTATTTGTTTAAAAATAAATCGATCAAAATTTTCATTCAGCTTTCCAAAATAAAAAAAGATTTTTTAAAATAATGTAAAATTTCAATTTTTAATTCTTAAATTAATTTAAATTCTTAATTTATCTTTTAGAATTGGCCTTGTGATGATTTTTTTTTAATAATTGGAATGATTTTTTATTTTGAAAGGTTGAATGAAAATTTTGATCTTTTTATTGTAAAATTAATAATAAGTTCAAAACACAGCCTATTTTAAAATAATTTCAAAAAAAAAAATTATTTTTCCGAAGAAGAAAAAAAATGTATTCTATATTTATCAAATATTGAAAAATCTCAATTTAAAAATAAATGGGCAAAGTTTTGAAAAAATACTATTTCAAAATGATATTTAATATAAAAAAATTATATTAAAATTTTAAAATTGAAAAAAAAAAATATAAATTATTGATTAGTGGTAGATATCTTAAGATTATGAGATTTTATTTTTCAAAAAATAGGAGAATATTGTTCCTAGTGTTAAATTAACCCCACTAAAAAAATAAAATATTATTTAAAACACTAGAAACAATAACTTCAAGTAAAATACAATTCAAATTTTTTCACATTGTTAAAACAGTTCTTACAAGAATAAAAATAATACATTTTCATTGAAATTGTAGATAATTTTGATTTTTGTTAAATATAAAAATCATTTTTTCACATTTTTGTTTTTTTTTTTTTTTTTGGAGAATCGTAATCCATTTGAAAAATTTTTTTTATTGCAAGATCAAGAGTCACTTCAGAAAAATGTATTATTCTTAGTTTATTGAAACTCTGGAAAGAATTGTTGTGAAATCATTTTGATTTCTATTACAATTTTATTCTATCTTTGATCCTGATATTTGTTTAATAAAAGTGAAAATTTTTTACTTCATTTTCATTTCCTTTTTCAAATAGAGACCACAAATACCAACATACTTTGTTTGAATTCTTGAATTCTAAAAGAAAAGTATTGAAAATGAAGGGAAAATTTTTTCCTATTGATTATTCAAAGACCAAGAGAAGTTCAAAACGAACATCGTTGTTTTTCTCAATATGGCCCTAAGAAATTAGAGTTTTTCAATTTTTAAGAAAATCTATTGATTAATTAGTTTTCTTTCAGACAGATATCAACAATTATATTTTGATGTTACTTATTCTAATTATTTCTTATTGTTCTTCTGAGGATCAATTATAAAAAATAATTGATATTTGAAAAAAAAAGTTTTGGTCAACTTTGATTGAAACAAAGATTATATTATTTGATATTTGATTTGATATATATATTGTTATAGTGACTATTAATTTTTTGTTTTGTAACAAGTGTTTATTTAAAGTTTTGTTTGGTTGTTTTATTAGTGTCTTGAAATGTTTGGTGGAGTTGTTATAGTCTATACTTATATATTTTGTAGAATTGTAGATTAAAATATTTTCAAATTCTAATTTTTTGTAAGACTAATCATAATTTAATACTTTCGAAAAAGCACTTCTAAATGTAAAAAACACTGTTGGTTCAATGGCAGAATGGGACGTTGCCATCGTCTTGATCGGGGTTCGATTCCCCGACAGTGTATTTTTTTTGCTCTATTGAATGTTATTCTATCATTTTTTTTAAAGAATTTTCGAATCGAAGCAAAAGGTTGATTGATCGAAATGGAAAAATAAAAAAAAAGTACAATATTTTCGTTTTCTACCAATTAAAAGAAAAAAAAAAAAAGCAGATTTTTTCAAATTGTTTGATCTTCTTAAAAATTTTTACAGACTAAACTCTTGAAAACATATCAAATAAGTAATTAGTCCTTCGGGTTTTTCTTTTTAGTTGGTTCTTAATGCTTTTTTTTTCCAAGAATTTGCGATCTTGTATTGAAAAAAAATTTTCACTTCATTTAATTCATTTTTCTTTAATAAATATACTTCTCAAATAAGTAGTTTGAAATTTTGATCTTCTCTTTAAAAAGGAAAAACTGAGTTGATACTCTTTTTTTCCCGTTTCTCCGAATTATCAATACAAATGAGTAAAAAGTTACACTTCCTTTTCCTCAATTTTCTCTCAAATAGAGTTTTCATAGAAGCTGACTGTAAATTGGTTTGTCTATTTATTTGTTTGATTCTTTTTATTGACTTTCAAGTCATTTTTTGAAGAGAGCTCACAGTCTTAAATGACTCTATTTGGATAAAAAAGAATTATTAATCATAAATTCTGTTACATTTTTTGGGATTTCTCAACAAGAAATATTAATTCAAAAAAATATAGTCTTGAATTGGATATTTCCTCTTTCAATTTACAAACAATTAAACGGGGAAATATAGAGTCTAATTTTCAATAGTGGTGGAAATGAAAAAACTTACTCGTATTTGCAGAATAAATGGGAAGAGATTTTCATCCACTTTCAATTTTCTTTCCAAATAGTGTCATTTAAGACTGTGAGCCCACTTCAAAAAATGACTTTAAAATCAATAAAAAGAATCAAACAAACAAATAGACAAACCAATTGACATTCAGCTTTTATGAAAACTCTATTTGAAAGTAAAATGAGGAAAAGCTTCAAGATTTGAGAAGTTACTTTGTGTCCAATTAATGGAATTGGTCTTTTTTGAAGAACTGTTTTTGGTTTTCTACTTAATAAAATCCCAAAATTGATAGTATCTTTTGAAAAAAAGAAAACATTGAAAAAATAAATCTAACTCATCATTCGCTTCATGAAAACTTACAAGACCATTTATGATTGTGTGAGCATTAAAAAACTTTTAACAAGCTTTTTTTAATCATTTGTAAGCTGTTTCAAAAAGTCGAACACATCATCTCGTAAGTATTTAACGAAAAAATTAAGTTGATACTTAAGCTAAAATTAACAAGAACAAGTTCAAACCTGAATTTTTTTCAATTTCAAGAGACATTGAGAAACAAGTTTTCAGAGTATCTCCCTTGAATTTGTTCAAATGTAACCTTAAAGTAGTCTCGACTCTATCTGGATATCTATTATTCAACAAAGTCCTTGATAATCCAAGATCTGGATTTGAGTTCCACTCAGAACACATGGAATTTCTTTTTTTTATGATCAAACACCATAAACACGTAAACTATTTTTCTTTTTCATTTTTTTTATTTTACTTTTAATTAATTTATTTTCAAAAAATTTTCTTAGTTCAAAGACAATGTCCAAAAAGAATAAAAAAACAGAAACAGTAAAACCAGTGCTTGGTAAAAAATTTTTATTTTACTTTTTCATTCCTTTTTGATTTTAAAAACTGAAAAAAAAAAAAATCTTTTTTTTTTTTTCTCTTTTCTTCACAAACAAAAAAAAAACAAAATTCGAACAAAAGGTCGTTACAGTGGGAATTTAAAAATGGGATTGGTTGGGTTATCCAATGTTGGAAAATCCCTTACTTTTAATCTCTTGACATCAATGAATGTCCAAACAAGTAATTTTGCATTTTGTACGATTGATCCAGAAACAGCAAGATGCAAATTACCCGATCCATATTTTGATCTTTGTGCCCAAGTATACAAACCAAAGAAGCAAACCCCATCTTATTTGACTGTTGTTGATATTGCCGGGTTAATTAAGGGCGCATCAAAGGGGAACGGCTTGGGGCTTAAATTTTTGTCTCATATTCGTGAAGTAGATGGATTGTTTCATGTTGTTAGGGCCTTTAGAGACAAAACCATTGGCCACGTGCAAGGTAGTGTCGACCCTGTAAGAGATTTACAAATTGTTGAAGAAGAATTAATGTTTAAAGATGCTGAATGGGTTGACAAAAGAATTGAAGGACTTGGTAAACATCTCCATGCCTTAGACAAAGCCAAAAAAGAAGAATATGTAACTTTCTATTTCGATTATTTTTTTTTTTTTTTTATATTTAATAATAATATATTAGTTTTGGAATAATAAACAATATTTTTGCACAAGTACCTCAAAAAATGAAAAAGATAAGATCTGCCAATAACAAATACTTCAAATATTGCAAAATTTATTTATTAGTCTTAAAATCTAATTACAATCGTATAAAATGATGCCTTAATTTTCCAAATTTTTTAAACATATTTGTGATTTTTTCATTAACGTGATACTTTTTCAGTGGGCTCACGAGTGAGAGGAAACTTTTCTGATATTTGGTATCTCAAATAGCCTTCTATTGGATTTTAAAAAAGAATTGTAGTTATTTGGGGTAGAAACCGAAATTGTAAAATCGAAAATACTTTTTCCAAAATCAAAAATACTTTTTCCGAAATCAAAAAAAAACAAACAAACCAAAACATCTCCAATGGTTTCTTAAATGGAATTTGTGTTCATTTAAAACACCAAATATACTGACAAGTCCACCACCTTACTGACATGTCGAAAAATAATCCCGTTAATGAAAAAACATAATTTCTGAAAAAAATTTAAAATAGTTTTTCTTTTTATTTTACATTGGAAAAATTAATTTTCTCTTCTAGGAGTTAGGTTTTATTGGGTTTTCTGTTTATTCAGAAAGCCGAATTGATTTTTTTTTTATTTTAATAATTTGAAAGTGTGAAATTAATATTTTCTAAAATCCGTTATGTTTTCCAGAATTTAAAAGAATTGAGTAAAATCTTTGATTTTTCTCTATTCTTTTGAATTCTGGAAAATCGTCGTTAGCTTTTTTTTAATTTTAGAAATTAAAAGAAAATTTGAAAAATTAAAAGAAAATTTGAAAAATTAAAAAAAACTGCCATTAGCTTTTCCAGAATTCAAAAGAATTGAGTAAAATCTTTAATTTTTCTCCATTCTTTTAAATTCTGGAAAAGCCTGTTAGGTTTTCTTGAGTTTTATGTTTATTTGGAAAATCGATAGATTTTCGTTAGGTTTGTTTTACTTTAGAAATAAACCGAAAATTTTAATAAATTTTCTGTTTATTTCTAAAGTAAAAAAAAACCTAGAACACTTCACAAATAAAACAGAAAACCTCAAGAAAACCTAGGCACTCTACGACACTCTACTACACTTATCTAATTTCGATATTTTTGTTTAGAAATTTCAATAAAAAATCATAATTATCTAAACTCCATTTCACTCAAAGGGGCCCAGCCAAAAATGAAAAAGTAACTTTATTTTTAAGAATCAACCAAACTTTGATTGTTTAGAAATACGAGAAATAATAAACTTCATATAAGAGTCGATAATTATAAAAGAAAACCCTGAACAAACAATAAATTTCAAAAAATAAAAAATTGTTAAAAAATTTTTTTAGCCCATTCATTGGAACGTCTCATGCAAAATTCTCAATTATTTTAGGAAATTAAAATTGTTGATAATAAGATTTTTTACTTGTAAATGTATGAATTCTAAAAGAACATACAAAGCCTAACTTTTCTTAATGTTTATTTGGTTTTTCAAACATTTTTTTTTCAAAGTTAATTTTTAAAAAAAAAAATAAAAAAAAAAAAAAAAAAAAAAAAAAAAAAGCAAAAAGCAAAAAAAAAAAAAAGAAAAAATTTACAAAATTATAAAAAATGATTTTGATCTCAAAATTGAAAATTTTAGTTTGATAAGAGTAATGAATTAAACTCATATAATGTCTTCCATTTCTTCAATAAAACTGTGCCCCTTTGACTGAAAAAGAGTTTATATCATTTACTAAAAGACAAGAGAAATAATGAGCCTTTATTTTGAATATTATCAAAGATATTAGACTTTTCCATCTCAAAGTCTAGAATACACGATAATGTAATTCTTCCCTTTCAATGCCAGATATTTTGGAATAACATACTTTTTGGCTGAAAAGTTATTTTGTTGTGAAAAACTAAATTTTACCAAAACAAATAATTTGAAAAAACTGAATTTTGGATAAAAAATCAACATTTTAACAATATAATATTTTTCTTTTTAAAATTTTATGAATTTTTCAGAATTACCAAATTATTATATTAATCAAGTTTTTATTAAAAAGACTAAATAGATAAGTTGATAAATTTTTATTCAATAACAAACTGATCTTCAAAACAATTTTTTTTTTTAAAACGAACAAAAAACAAAAAAAAAAAAAAACACTAGTTTGACAAAAAATAAAGTTATTCTAGAAAAACTGGCTATTTTGTGATCAAGTTACACTTATTCACAAAAAAATAGTTATATGTAAAAAAGTATTTATTAGCAAAAAAAAAAGAGTCTTTTGTGATAGAGTAACAATATCCGCGAATTTGTTAAATTTAGATCGAAAACTCTATTATTCTTTAGTATTTTATTATTTTTGCTTATTTGAAACAAATTTTTCATCTAAAATTTTCGATTTTTTTCATCGATGGGAATTCCCAAAAAAAAGTTTGAAAATTAATAACCCCATAACAGCAATTTCAACTGGATCCAAGAACTTTAAGTTTTTTCTTAATATCTATTTTTTAAATTTTTTATTTTTGTTGTTTTTTGCTTCAATTTTTCTTCTATATAGATTTTTTAATTCATAATTTTATTTTAGAAAAATAAATTTAGTTTGAAACACTTCCAATGACTGTGACCAGACTCTCTAATTGGCTTAGATAACCTTTGAATTAGGAGACACACATTTAGTCGATTCAAAATTATCTCTTTATTAGATTAAATTTTTTCA